ATTTTAAACAGGAGCAGAGCAAATCTGCATGTAAGCAGGGACCATCTGAGAGAGGGCAGGGTTTTGAGGGAAAGCATTGCAAAATCTGATTGTGTAAAAAAGAGATAATGCTGTCAAAATCAAAGACCAGGCTCTTGAATAAAGATAAGAAAGAATCTGAATGGAGACAACCATTCCTCGGTGGAAATGTTTATCATTCTGAAGGTGCTCCAGGGGTTTGCAAGTAAACATGACTTTATTTTAGGGGCTCCGAGCAAAAAGGGAAAACAGCCAGGGAATCATTGGGATCATTGTGAAGAAGATGTGAGCTGCGTGCTCGATCTTTTTATTTGTTACTCTCTTTATTCAATGGTTCTGGAAGGTAGATAATGACACAGTGCGTTAAACTTTAGGGCTGTATTTAATGGGCAACACATTTCCAAGGTATAATGATGCAACCACTGTCTACTCTATTTTTTTATTGGAAGCCACCATTAGCAACAGTTTAGTTGTAACAGTTTATACTTAATAATACATAATACAACGTTGGGTTCACCAGTGTTTTGAATTTGAAAAAACAGTAACCTCTGTATAACGAATAGAGGCAAGGACTCACCACACACACCTGTGTTAGACTATCACCATACCGGCATGGCTAAATCACACTTTGATTTTACAACCTTCTTGCATATCAGGTGCATGTTTCATATTATTGGAAACCTAATTGATTTCCTGATGCCCACTTGCCTATAAATAATGGTGTGTTTGGTGACATCCAATCACACCACACATCAGTGGCCAGTGACTTCCTTGAGGATGATGCTGACAGGTAAACTGACAGCTGTGCAAACAAAACACTTTTAAATTTAAGACTGACCAGATAGAAATAAAAAACATGATCACCCATGAAAAAAAGCATGTGTTTATACAACAGTGCATACAGCGCTGTATATGTGAGCCAGACAGACAATGCCTGCTCCAGACTGTTTGCGGTGCCCTCCTTATGGACAGTGACTCACCAACTCAATCTCTCTCCTCTCACATTTCCCTGTGCTTCTTCTCATCTGCCATCCTCAAGCCTGCCAAATAAAGGTGTGACAACGATAACAAAGAGCTCTCCTCAGAATGAAATGCAGCATCAGGGGGAGAAAAGCACCGGAATTCAATTTCATGCCAAAACAAACATTCTCCGATCTATAATTCTTTTATCGATTTTATCTATTCCGGTATTTCATCAGCAGGCGAGAGCTAAACAAATCTGTGAAATTTGAAAGGAGTGATGATGGGTAGGAGTAGGGTTAAAAAGGTTGCAGATGGCATTGAAGGGGGCAGGAATGGTTTGGTTGGAGGCCAAGTGAATCACTGCTGCTGATCATACTTCTTAATTATAGAGACAAGAGAGAGATGCAGAGTTTGAGTAAGAGAAAATGGAAGGAAACGAAAGTAATGTGTGGAGAATTGAACAACCAATAAGCAAGAGGGAGAGAAGCGTGAGAAAACAAAATATAAGAGAGGAAAAGAGCTGAAGAGATGGCTACTGAAGCAAATATGCAGGGTCAGCACATGGTGACTGTGAGACTGAAATAAAGGTCAGAGTAGTGGACATTTGAGAACACACACACAAACATGTAAACACAAACTCACAACACTAACCAACACATTCAACATTCACACAGCCACAAGCATACAGACCTATGCAGACAGATAACCCTTCCCTACACCAATAGAGACAACATTGACTGGAGCACCCACCTCCCCTTACTCAATACTCAATGATCAGTGTGTCCTGTTATTGGGTAGGGTACTGCACAGCTCTCACAATCCCACACACACACATACATACCAACACTCACACACTGCCTGCATCACGTGTGTGTGACATCTTCTTCACTGAAGTGCTGCAGTGTCCACACAATGCCAGCATGTCTGGTGCTGCATGCTACTGCCAGCCCAATCTTTCTACACAGAGTTTGCCTTGGATAATTAATGGCCATCAATTATAATAATCATTTGTCCTTAATGAGCGTCTGAAAAGTGAAGAGTTGAAACCACAAGGCGGTCACGTGACTTATGTTTGTTGTCAGAGCAACAGCGAGAGAAGGGGGGTGACAGTACACCAGACAATAGCTAAGACACTGAAACTAAGGTGAATGGTGTCAGTTTTAAAGTAATGTTGCGAATATGATGTCAATATGACTCACCAGATCCTCTCCTTGTCTATTTTTGCTCAGAGCGATGCATGTCACATGTGCAAAATTGACAAGATGCTGAAACTTAATACTGAACAGCACAGCAGAGAGACATGAGCCACACAGGCTATGTGGCCACTCTAACCTGTTATTAATGTCAGCAAAAAATATCTAATTTCATGAATTTCCATCAGCACTTGGCAAAACAATATCAGTTGTGTTAGAGGAAAAAAATGACAAAGGGTTTGAACAGAATATGAAAAAATATCTCAGAGCAAACAGCCTCAATGACCACATCCTTTACTCTGAGTTGTCTGATGTGACAAGGGAACAGCTGAACCACAACACAAACTCAATTATCAGTCTTTATTTCCACGTAAAGAAGGATGGGAGGGGAACCAAAGAAAATCTTGATTAACTGAAATCACATCTGCTCTTCAACCAATCAATTGGTCCTGGAGAAAAGAATCTGCATTATATCTCTAGACTAAATCGACCAGTGCTCTCTACCTGATGGTGTAATCACTCTAAAAGAATTAAAGTAAATATAATAAGCTAGTATTTGTAGAATATTAAATGATTTCAAGGTAATTAGATCAAAGATATTCAAATATGCCAATTCTGATATGCTTACACTTAAAGCCTCATGCTTTATATACCTCCATCACAATATACCAAAGTAAAAATGGCAGTTTTGAATCAAGAGTAACATCATGCAAAGATTCTGACGAGAATAACAGAAAGAAGGAAGGACTTTAAAGAATGAAATGCGACCAATGGGTGGAGGAGAGCCGATGATGTCGTTATCTGGTTATCTGACAAACAAACAGTTTACAATGGTCGTAGACAAGCACTGACAAACATCGACAGGGATCGTTAGATATTAAAGCCTTTGTTTATCCAAACTGTGGCTCAAAGCCCCCCCTGGGATAGTCAAGGTAGTGCCAGGTTCATTATGATTAGCAATGTAGCATTTCTCCTCATAAGCTACAGAATGCTCAAGGCATAGTGAGCAGTATTCAAAGAAGTTGAAATTTGAAAAGGTGTCTTATATGAAAAGTTTATAAGAGCCCATGTGCATTCTACAGTAATCAAGTACCTTTTTGAAATGAAAATGTACAACTTGTGATGCATTTCTTACACTTTCCTTTGTGACTACATTAATCCCTACTGTTACAGTAAATTCAGCATGTGTTTCAGAAGCTTTGTGTTTCCCCTCAGGGTTGCTGGATGTTCCTAAAGAATCTTTAACGAGAATCACATAGAAATCAGTCCACTGGCAATGTTAGGAGCTAAGCCTCTCTAAAAGCCAGGGAAACTCCTGGTAATGACGATAAGAGCAACCCCCCAGCCAAATGAGACAATCCGTCAACTACAACATTGTGGAATGTAAATTCTTATCATGTGCAATCAAATTGTGCTGGACGCTGTCCTTAAAACAGTCCTAACACAAACAGACTGCTTAGCAGAAACTTACAGTATTATACTCACTGCACTGGTATTTTTGAGTAGCTTTAGCTTAATGAGAGGCAATCAACTGTAGAAAGATAAAATGAAAAAATACACAAACAAACAGTAGAGTCAAATTGCCAGAAAAAGTCCCGTAAATCCTGAACCAAGCCATCACCTGTTACATCATAACTTGCACACATATACACACACACACACACACACACACACACACATACACACAAAGGCACAGTCACACAACCAATCAGCCGTTGTCATTAACGTACCTAAGCCAAGAGTGTTTCTCTCAATTCTAGCCTCCAGTCAGGGCCGATCCCACCACCAGCTTTACACAGATTGATTTATAAACAATCCTTGTTTATTGAGTAGTAAAGCGTAAAAAGTCTATAAAACACAAGACATAAAACATAAGAAATACACAGCCTTCTGCTACTATAAATTCTTTAAGAGCAAATACAACACATCAGCCGTCAAACTCTGTACAGTGAGTAGCTGGAGAGTATATTCTGAGCTAGTGCTAAACAGCTAACTAAGCTTTGCATTACTGTCCACAGCAAGAAAACACACACATGCATCCACTTGCATAAACATGCAAATCCTACTTACAGGGCTGATTATTAACACCGAATGAAAACAAACTCAAGCACCTAGTCTTGCATCTGTGCTCTGTGTGTCTGGGATTTAGGGGCTATTTTGTAGCAACTAAAACAACTGGGTCATATTAAAGCAGGACCCAGTTTTCCAAGTCTGCCTGACTCTATTAACAAAGTCATGACGATCTGCTCGTTATTGGATTGAAACATAATTCCCTCGCCCGGCTCTCCCTTTCCAAAATCTTCCATCCCCAACCAGATGGCTTGGGGTTTCACTCAAGTCAGTGCTTGGCAATACTTGTTTGTTTGGTTTTCTCACTGTAAAGCAGTCCCAGGAAAAAGTCTGTAGTTTCCAGGCTCTTCTGTGGCAAGAGGGATAGAATTACATCTAGCCTGGTGAATCATTGACTCTAAGTAAAATATAACCAATTCAAAAAACAGGAGAGACGGTTTTATGTATGGTGAGCAAATCTCTGAGAAACACCACTAAAGTTCTGAAGAGGAGGCTCCAGCCTAAGGAAAGTCAAAGGAATTTAGAGAGGCATGTGCAAAAGTACAATTGCAAATATCATATACACACAGTATGTGTTGGTCATGTGATACGCAGATAATAGCAACACTTTGTGCTGCATCAAGACATGGCAGTCATCTTGGAATCAGTCCAGGAGCAAACCTGGCTCACACAAAAAAGTCTGTGAAGTAACACTGTACAGATCAACAATCACACACACTGCTTTCATTCAACAAAGTGCAGCGGCTCGTCACTCACTGTGTCTGTTGTTGTTTTCAGGGATGGACGTAGTTCTGACAGGCTCCTGGGGATGTCCATGCTTGGGAGTCCGGCCCTTTGGCAGCCCTGATGAGGACAGCTTCCCAAGCCTGGGGCCACTTGGGCTCTCCATGCCTGCAGTGGTAGTTGAGGGGGTTACAAACACACAGGAGGGAGACAGAGAGAGATAGCTATAGGCATTGTTTGGATAGTTTCTATCCTCATTAATCCTGTTCCATCGCTTGTCAAAACATTATTAGCAATGTCCACTGCATCAATACGCCGCGATGATGCAGTCTCCTTGTTCCACAATGCACTTTCGTCATTACGGCCGTTTCGTGCTATCGGATTGAAGGTTATCTGAGTGGAGGCACACACATCATCTGCAGCGGTAATGAGGGTGTGACCTTCCATGTTTCATTTCAAAATCAATACTCTCACTTACACACTAACTCCATGCTCTGCCCATTAGACAAAAGGTGAGTCAAAGAGAGGTGGGGGGGGGGGGGTACAAAGCTCCCCTGCTTTCTCTCTTTATTATGAAAACCAGTACTACATCTCTTGATGAGGTGAAATGGTCAGCAGCAATGCTTTTTGGGGGCTTTAAGTGGTGGCTAATGAATATTAGATAGATATATTACCCATCAACCAATAATTTATTTCCTCACCGCCATTATCCAAAGTAAACCTATGTGTTAGTTTTGGGCTGTATGTGCTGGAACACTCATTCCTTGTCAGCATGGAACAGAGTCTGATAGATGAAGGATGACAATCGCTAATTATGCTAAGTGGGACTGATTACGATCCGACATGCTTTCTCTTAGCACACATTCACGTCACTCCCCTAATGAACTACAGCAGCACACAAAGGGTCACTAGGTGGGGGCCTCTCTGTGTCTGCTTACGCACCGTGCTATTCACTGTACATCCAGTTATGACTGCTCATCCGTCACAGTGATTATGTGCACACAGTTGTTAGCAAATTTAACATTAAAAGACATATGGTGATACGCTGAGATTGCACACAATAATAGACACCTTCCTTCCTTTTTCCTGGATTATGAGTCAGAGTGTGAAGAGAAGCAGCATTTAACAAATGGAACAAATGTGAGAATGATGAAGACACAGTAGGCCTGTCAGCTGAATTATCACTGGTAAACAAACCTTAGCTTAGGCCTGGGCAATAATATCATGACAAATGTTACATTACATACAATGTTCCCATTTGGGTTTACAAATGCATAAGCATTGTATCGATAAATATCGATAATTACTTATTGCTATTGATGAAAATGATATTTCTTGTTTATTGCTTACAGCCCTACTTCAGCTCACTTCACAGAAACAGCATGCTTGTAAGATTTACTTGTGAGCTTCAATAGACACATTTTGTCAACACAATGCACATTTATTTCCTGTTACAATTTAACAATTCCTATAATATTGTTGTATCATGACGCTTTTTAGATTAGCCCTCAGTTTCAAAAGGAAAAATAACATTGCAGCTGGTGTTTTCATAAAAGATTAATTCCACTACAGTAACCTACAGAAACTACGTTACTCTACATTTTCGCTACACACAATAAAATATACTGAACTTTAATTATATTGCTGTTGATGAAAATCATTCAAGGATAATCACTTGATATCACTTTAAAGAAAATCGTATTGTCAGATATATACGCATGAGCTTCAATAGACACATGTTGTCTATGAAATACACATTTATTTAATGTTAGAACTTAAACACTCCTACGATACTCTTGTAGGGACACACTTTTAGATTAACCCTCAGTTAGAAAAAACATTGCATAAAGTAAAATATTAATTCTACTACAGTTACCTACAATAACTATATTACCATGATTTGTGCTAGACACAACAAAACCTGCTGACACCCACTCACATCATCTCCCTCACACAATGTGCTGACAGAACAACGTGGAAATAAGTATTTCAGCTCCGCACGTGGCACACTGCCACACTGTGTGTGTGTGTGTGAGTGTGTCTTGTCTTTCCATAGTTATGAGGGCCAATTATAGTTCAATACCATCACTGTTAGGACATTTTGACTAAGTGAGGACATTTCAGCCAGTACTCACAAATTCAAAGGGTTGTCTGAGGGTTGAGATTTGCTTTTAGAATTAGGTTTATGTTAGGGTTGGGCATTTAGTTGAGTTGGTTAAGGTTAGGGTTCGGGGTTAGAGAGTTCATAATGACAAGGAGTGTCCAAACAACTTAAGAAACAAACACAAGTGTGTGTGTTTGTGTGTGTGTGTGTGCTTGTCTTCCTACAGTTATGAGGGCCAATTCTGGTTCAACACCATCAGTGTGAGGACATTTTGGCCGGTACTCACAAATTCATTGGGTTATTTGAGGGTTAAGATTTGCTTTTAGGTTTAGGGTTTAGTCAGGGTTAGACATCAAGTTGTGATGGTTAAGATTATGAAAGGGGCTAAAGAGTTCATTGTGTCAATGAGTGCCCCCACAACTACAGAAACACAAGTGTGTGTGTGTCTGTGTGTGTGTGTGTGTGTGTGTGTGTGTGTGTGTGTGTGCACTACAACAAGGTTACTGAGTTCTCCATTTGTGTGGTGAAGAAAAAACTAAAAGAGAGAGTGCTCCACGTTCTCCCCCCTGCTCGGCCACACCTACCTGAACTGTCAGACAGTCCCCCGGCTCTGTGGGGCCCGGTGGCCCCGGGTCACCCCCCACGTGAGGGCGGGAGGTTGGGGGGGTCAGGAGACGGGCACCTGAGTGGGCGGTTGTCTGTCCTCTGCTCCACCGGTGTTGTGTTACATCTCAGTCCCACCTGCTGTGCGTCAAGGAGCGGTCACACCGGGGCTGCCGGTGGTGGAGGGGGGACCGAGAGGAAGTGGACAGCCGTCACCGTCGTCCTGTCCCCCCCCCCCCACCTCCTCCCGCTCCTGCCCACTCGACGAGGTGGAGGATGAAGAAGGAAAAAGAGAAATGTCGTCCACGCATGAACAGAAAATCCCGGAGAGTTTTCCCCCTCTTATTCCCAGTTTCCAGTCGGCTCGCCCCCTCTGCTCCTCTCCCGCATTAACACGCAAAAAAAAAAAAACCCACGAGGTACTTCTTCTCCTTCTCCTTCCTCCTCCTCTTCGTCACCCTCCTCCGTGTGTCGCCCCAAAACACTAATGGCCAGAAATCAGCAGGAAACAGCTCCGCGACTCCTTCAGGGGGAAATAAAAAATATTAAAATACGGGACGGTTTATACAGGCAGTGAAGCAAAATGGCGACTTTATTACGAAGGAGGAGTAGTAGGGGGGAGAGAGGGAAAAAAATCCTTGCGCTGGCTGGATCTAAAGGAGCAGGAAGATATGTGAAGTGCGGTAATGTCGACGGCGAAGAGCTGACGGCGGCTCCGAGTCACCGCGAACGAAGCGAAGGAAAAATCATCGGAGACGCCACAACATCCCGCCCGGGTCCGCCTCGCTCCTCGGCTCCTCACCTCGGGATTATTTCGCTTTTTTTTTTTTTAATACGGATATTATCTCGGCGGCCGTGTACAGTATTACAGTAATGTGTGATGGGTCATGCGCGTATCCACTCCACCTTTGACAGTTGCAACTACAGTCTTTTGGAGGCAACTTGCAAACTCTCGCGTTATTATTATCGATATCGAGCAGATTAATATTGAGGAAGAGGAGGAGGGAGGGAGGGAGGGGGGGACGTCTAATAAACGCTCGTTCCAGAAGAAAGGGGGTCAGGGTTTAAATTCATTTAGATCAAGTGTTTTAATCTAGTTGCTGCAACAACAAAAAAAACATGTCCTGCAGATTCAGCAGATCTCACATGGAGGAAGTTGTCATCATTTCATGTCTGGTTGTCTTTGCATTACTGTGCAGCCCACTGCTGTCCTCATAAACACAAGCAATGCAATGACAAATATTCCTAAAATAAATGTCCTGCGGATTTTTGCAGAAATAACACACGGAGGAAGTTGTCATCCTGGTTGTCTTTGCATTACTGTACAGCCCACTGCTGTCCTCCTTAATTATAACAATGCAATGACAAATACACCTAAAGAAAAAGTCTGCACTGCTGAATGTGCAGCAGCATCACACACACACAGGCTCAATAAACAGGTTCAGACTTTTGTGATCATGCAAATTCAAGGTCAATACTAAGACACTGTGGATTGCTCCTGTTGATGTCATTGTCAACACAGGGCTTTTCAATGTCTGTAGCTGATCACTGGCTACAGGCTGTGTGCACACTGCTGGTGTTTCCCCCCCATAGCTAATAATACATGTTTCACACATGATGTGAAGCCTGCACCTCTCTCTCGTGTCACAGCTCAGCTAATGAATAAACCACAACACCACTGCCACCTCACTCATCTGAGTGAAAACAACACAGGGTCTCTCTCGGTCTATGATTGGTGCCAGTCATCATGACCTAATATTTCCCATTAGTGGAAATCATCTGAAACCATGATGTCATGTAAAAAAAACAAACAGAGCTGTTTTTATCTCAGCCAGTAGAGGGCAGCAGAGTCTCGGATTTCTGCTGAGATCAGCCCACAGTAAGAAAGGGGCTTAAATAAATGTTGTGTTTTATGAAAGTCATTTAGTTATATATAGAGGATTTAGTTATATATATTTCATATTTGAAACTTGAAAACATGTATTCTTATTATATCCTCTGCCCTTAACACTTAATACGAGTAAAGAAAACCTACTATTATAGTAATAACAATAATAATAATTATATTATTAAAATAATTCTATTTTTCACCTGTACCTTGTCTGAAGATACCTTCGAATATATTTTTAATGTCTACTTAGGGTTTGTCTGCATTTGTTGTCCACCAGGGGACAGTGCTGTTCTGTGATCGGTGAGGAGCCACTCATAAACCATAGAGACACATACAGGCTGCTGCTTCTTTGTCACTTTTACATTTCTGTGGTTGGTTTTCATGGCAATGTGGAGTGTGTTGTACAGACACATGGCTCAACTGGAGGGGGCGCTCAGCTGGTTCATGGCTCTCTGGGCCTGAGGGGTGTTTCTCCCTCGACTGACTGACAGCAGCCTGTTTCTCCTGAACAGTATGTTCCAGCTGGTTAAGTTGAATCTGCATTCTGCTTTCGTTAATGGCTGCTGATGAGTGGTTCATATGGGGGCTTGTCTCTGTTGTGATTAATCCTTTTACCGTGGCAGTGATTTATGTTCCCACTCTCCTTCTGCTGAGTGAGCAAAAGGCCACTTAATGGTTTTTAAAACGGGCCAGGTGGAGTGGCGTGTGCCCTAAACGTCTCTCGAAGAGTCCATCCAGCAGCCGATTGTATCATTTATCTGTTGACCTTTTCAGTGAAAGTTGAGCGAACACATATGCACTTTTATCATGCTGATGTCCTTTGCAGTGGAATGCTGAATATTAACATTTGGGTGCTGGCCAGAAGAATTACAGACTTTAGCGGTTTATGCCACTGAGCAGCTCCAGAGAAGCAGCTGCTACAGCGAGCTTTTTGATGAGAGGGTGTTTCTCATTCGGCTTCAGTGCCGTCAGAGGACTGAGATCCAGATGATCAAAGCCACAGGCACATAACGATAAACAAGCTGGATGAGGAGGCTCGGATGTTTCAGAGAGCAATGACGAAAGACGAGCTCTCAAAAACAAATTGCGCATCTCCAGACGTCACAGAGAGAAAGAACAGACACTTAACAGTAAACAGTACCCAATTAACTGCACCATCCTTCAAGCCATCTGCTCCACAGAGTTCTGGTTTGAAAGGGCCACTGTTCACTGAGTCTGTTCATCATACGTGTGCCTTGTTATTAACAGGTGAGATGCTTCATGTCTCCCAGTAATTGGATCACAGTGTGTGTATGTGAGCAGGAGACTGACAGTGTGCGTGTCTCCAGGCAGCCGCCACTGTTTTGCATTCACACGGTTTGAGTCGTGACTCGTGGCCCTGACTGATGGGTCAGAGTGCAGCAGGTGCACATTGGAGACGTACTCACAGTCAAGAAACTTGTATAAACGTGCACTATTTGATGTAATGACTGATGAATAAATGAATGGATTCATGGATGAATTGAAAGAAGGATAAATGGGAGGGAGCAAGGTTGGGAGAAACTAAGCGAGGAACAAAAAGCATGAAGTAGGTGGTAAAGAAGAAGAAAAATCCATAAGAGCTGTGCAGTGATTCTTGATTATGACCAGAATAAGATATCTGGGTTCACTCTGGGCCACTGAGGTGAATCATCACTCTTGCACAACTTAAATCAAGAAAGTTGGGTCTGTGTGTGTGTGTGTGTGTGAGAGTAATTTTTCTCTCCTCTTTAGGACCTTTTCCAGCATAAACACTGACCTTGTCAGGACCAGTAGACCTCGTGGGGACCAAAGCTTCGTCCTAATGATGCAAAACGTCATTCCTGAGGTTAAGTTAGGTGTACGATGTGACTTGTTGTTAGTTTAACAGCACGGTTTGGCATGAGATTGTTATGGTTAAGGTTAGGGGAAATGTTTTGGTTTGGCTGCGCACAATGAATGAAAGTCAATGCAAAGTCCTATAAAGGATATGTATGAGTTAGCCTGTCCATGTGTGTGTGTGGGCCAGGTATGTTGTGGGGAGTTGTCGTCCTTATGTGGACAAAAGGCAAGTCCCCATAATGTAAATCATTACATTTTAGGTAGGTTAGGTTAAGCATAGGGTTAGCGTGAGGGTTAGGAAATAGTAACTGTGGTTAAAGTTAGAGTTACTCTCCAGGAAATCAATGTAAGCCAGTGTCAGGTCCTCTGAAGTCATGGAGACACAGCTAAGTGTGTGAGCTTGTAGTGTATAGATCAGTAAGTAGAATATAGTGGAACTAAATTTTATAAAATTGTGAATTCAAATGTTTCCGTTTCCACTTTGTGTGTCAGAGAAGCACAGAAATAACAAATGAATGATGTTTGGTGTCAGTATTAAAGTGGTTTAATGCTTATGTCATGTTTCCAAAAAATTATTCAAATTTCCAATGTATATAAACAAATCCTCCATCCCCACAGTATCTTGGCTATTTTTAGATGTGTAGAGGACATTTCATCACTTCCCTCTCATATGGAATCAGCTTTGGGGATGAGACCACTCTCATGTATTCTCTCAACAACACTTTCAGCTTCTTTACAAAGATGTTACAAGAACACAATTTATATAGATATACAATGAGTGGTTTCAACAATTGTATGTGAGGGCTCCTCTACAAAACCCTCAGATTAGGTACATGAGGGTCGACCTTTAACTGCTCTAAATTTAGAGAGATTTGGATATGACTTGATTCTGGTGTCATTTTTGAAATTGTATTTTTATTTAATTCTCTTTTATTCAATTCCTATTTCATGTTATTGCTTTAATATTAACTTTGTAATCCTGGATTCGCCTCCTAATCTGGATCTGCACCAACATCAAAACACATATTACTTACCTATTACTTACATATCCATCCTTCCACCAAGTTTTGTGTAATTCTTCTTACAAACAAACCAACAAACAAATGGACAAAGTGAAAACATGAAAAATGATAATAAAAATGAAATAAATGTAAGAAATCAAAAGCAAA